TCATCACACCTGTACAAGACTAACCTGCATGGCTGAAAAGTCTCACAATGTAGTTAAGAACTGTTTACCATAAGACTAGTTTCTTCCGCTTTTGCAGTGGTCTCACAGCAGTGAACGTGAATCGCATGGGTTAAAAATATTCTTTCACAAATTACTTTTTCACATGGGTGATATAGGTTTTCAAGAAATCTTTACCTTCCATAAATGAAATTATTGTTTAAAAGCTATTTACTCATGTTGTCTTTATCTTATGTTAAATTAGATGATTTGAAACATTTAAATGTGACAAATTAGCAAAAATAGAAAAGAAATCAGGTGAGGGGTAAATTCTTTTTCATAGCACTGTATGTATTTCCAGTGCATTGCCCAGTGGTATTAGCCAGTATGTGACTAGTAAATCAAAGCCAAGACTGAATTTGTGTGGCTACCAAAGGGGATGCTAAATGCTCTCATACAACACAAAAAGTCTCCTGAACGGAACGTTCCATTTGATTGCACTGAGAAGTTAAAAGTATAGGACAATTTGTTTTGTAGAATTTGTAGGCGAGCTGTAAAGATCACGCCATCAGGTCTGTTTGAAATTAAAATGCGGTGAAAAACAGCCTTCACACTCTCCAAACTTGTGAGGGGTATTCCAGCTCTTTTCAGTGAGTCAGATCAACTGCCTCACCAAGGCAAACCGACCCGTTCAGCTACAAAATGTCTCTTCATTCAGCATCACTGACAGTTTTTTAAATTAAAATTATTTCATTTTCAACAACTTTTACTCTAGATTCTAATTAACAAAAAACTGCACTGCATTATAAAACACTATTTTCATAAAGGTGAAACTATCAATTACAGTAAGAAATGGCTGTCCAGCAAACAGGCTTGCAGGCCAAACTAATAAAAACTGCTGGTACAAAGACATACTTTGTGTTAATTAGATAAAAGACAGGTACATAGATGAAATAAAAGAAACTGCAAAAAAAAGAACATTATAAATACTGAATGATTACAAATTATAGTTTCTAATCTTGTTCAGGTAATTCATAAGGGCTTACCAAAGGTACTGAAGACGTACCCTTGAGGGCACCTCCTCAGTGACATTAGGAGTACCACCCCAGTGACAGTTTAGTACCTTTTGTCTGAGAGTGACAGACAAGAAAGGCAGGCTAGATATCAGCCTATGAATAGTTACCAAGAGCAACAACTCCTTAAGCCCAATGTTGAACCAAGCAAATTCAACCAGATTCATATGATTTTCCATTTCCTGTAATAAATATAAAGCAGGAAATGTAAAAAATATAAAGCTGGAAGGAAATGCACATTCAGAATGTAAAAAGTGTTACATCCATGGTTACGCAGTTATTGGCCTATCTCCAAACAGGTGAAATAATCAGTAGGGACGAAGGCTTGGAGGGTGTTTGCTGTCAATGGCAAACATCTAGTCTAACATGGCTTCAATGGATTGTCAGTCAGCCAACTTGACACCAGTGACCCAAATCTCAACATCACCCTACTGTGTTTGTCCCTGTGGGGTCACCCCATGGGGTCTCTGTGTGCAGGTTCATATCCCCTTCTAGTTAACCAATGTGCCAGTCATGTTTTAGCAGAGTGCAAGGTGTGTTTAGTTTGGACATCTGAGGGCCACATAAAGGGCTGAAAATGTCCTGAGAAATCTCCATCATGATGGGGTCAAGACGAAGTGTGAGTTATTAAAGAATGAGGTGGGTTATGCAGGCTGTTTAGTCTCAGTTAACAATATACATATTGACCCTGCAGACTTAAAGGTATTGTACCCTTTGAAAGATAGGACACCTGTTACTTTTGGGGATCTAAGGAGGACCACTAGGTTCCTGTGCTATTATTGCTTGAGAATTAGCCTATTTGAGGATTTTTCCTGCAACAGCAGGGCGGCCATGAGAACAACCAAAGAGTGAAAAGGCTCACCTTCTGCATCTCACACTGAGGGCTATTCTGTACCAGCAACAACAGAGGGGAAGCTCTGAGTCATTGGGTAAAGCTCAATAAACTGCATACCTGTAAAAAGAAATCACAGATCCATTCCAGGAAACTTGAGTTTCTTACCGTTTAGTGGGCCATGTGTGAGAGATTTGGGGAATTACTCATCGATGGCCTGTCATGTAGTGAAATGAAGGATGTTGATCTACGTCCTTTATCACATGACAGGCCATGTGTTTTAGACATTAGGGAAATTAGAGAGGCACTAGAGAAGTTTCTTATTGTTTCTTATCAAGAATTCTAAGAGTTGCGCGCCTTTCAATCGACTATCTACATTTGGAGCCTAGTGTGGGTGGCTACAAATATATGTTAGTTGTGGATGATCTGTTCACTAGTCATGCCTATGCCTACACAACTCAACATATCTAAGAAGACAGCAGCAGAAAAGGAGTTGTTCAGTGGCATTCTGGAGTTTGGTTGCCTAGAAAAGCTGCATCACAATGCCCTGGCAGAGCGGTTTATTCATAGTATTTTGCAGATGTTTTGGATTCTGGAAGAAAGGTTGGTGGTGGGAGATGTAATTGTACACATCACAAGGCTTAGATGCCCCAACAGTTTTGGACGCTTCTTCTGTGTATGGCAAAAGGACCCTGGGAGTCCATGTTTAATGTATTTTAATCTTTAAAGCTGTATTAGTAGATGAATTTCTTTTACTACTAGTAAAAACAATCTGGAAAATGTGTAAAACATGATAAAAAAATAATTGTTTTAGCAATGCCATCAGCACAAGTGTATTATGTGCTTGAGAAACCCCATAAGGAAAACTGCAGGGTGGAGCGGAGGGTTTGTCTGTGTTTACACCGACCTCCTGTCAATCATTTACAAGACCTACCCCTATACCACACTACTCCACCCCCTTATCCGTCTGTTCACAAATAAATGGCAGAATCTAGTTAGTGACTTGCACTGAATGGTTGTAGTACTGTGGGAAAAAACACACTTCTCTACCCAAAAATGTAACAAGAAGAAATGTGCGAAAACATCAATCAACACTGGAAGCACTTTTCCAAAGGTATTACACGTAAAGAGGATAAGCAGAGTTGGGCGCAGAATTAGCAACGTTCCTCCTAGACAGGCAGATAAACGCGACATGTACTGTGGCCTCCGCGGCACTGCTGTGGGGAGCTTAGGAGTTGGGGCCTTGCAAAGTGGCTCTCAGGAGGTGCCATACTCCTGCTTAAATGAAAAAGCAGAGTTATTGTTGCTGTTAGTGAGAGTTGCTGTTTATTGAAATGGTATCAGAAGAGGGCTGGCTTAGTGTGTTGGAAGTGTGTGCCTTTCTTGTGTGTAGTGTCCAATGTTAACCCCAGCCCTGTGTTTCGTGTTGAAGTAAGATTAGAAGTGGTTCACGCATTGATGGAATTGCTGATGTATGTGAGATTGCACCGGAGGTCGCCCTAAACACGGTTTTTAACGTCAGGTGCAGACTGAATACTTTTGTGCTGGTCCGGACGGCTAATAAGCAAGATCAGTTATTACAGAAATAAAAGCAACCAGAGCAGTCCGTGCAGCCTAGATTAATCTATGCCTGAGGATTAAAACATAAATTAGGTGAATGTCGGTTGAGTAATAAGGAAGTTGTGGACGATTTAATCCTGAGAACTCATCTCTCAATAGAAGTGAATTTGTTTACAAGCGGATTTTTACCGCTCCATCATGCTGGACGGGCACACGTGTCCTCTCAGATAGAGGACAACAGACATCTAGGTATGTATATCTATGCTGTAGCCAAAGCTGTTGCTATACAAACGAGTATTTGACGAGTACTTGGACAGTATGCTTAGACAAAATGTCGCTCTAAATACGTGAAATCAAATGTCATCAGAATTTTCCAGGTAAAGTAGAATAAATCAGTACTTTGCTGGCGGAAGCAGAATCTCACTCTTTATGCTAATATCGTTATCTAGGTTCCTGAAAGCAAGAACAACTACCCTGACATAAATTAAACAATAGCTCTACTGAGACGTAGACTATATCGAGAATTTTGATCTTTCGTCAACGTCAGCATATCTAAATAATGAATTTAATTAATACACAGCCTACCTCACCGCTATGATGTGAGGTCATGACGATGTCTGGTAAGTTTACGCTGGAAAACTGGGTGAACTCGACGCTGAACACCTTCGACTCTACGGGCGTGCTTTTTGTTGATGAGCGAGATTGAGAGGCGGATTCAAAGAGGTTGGCGTATCTCCAGTTTTAACTCATGAACTTCTAAATCAACTTGAAACCAAAATAGTGAAATAATAGTAACACCATGTTTTTAAACTCTGGCAGCCATGAACTGAAACGATTATGAAGCTAAATGCTAGCAGCATAGTTGCATTTCTGTAGGTCGCCCTTCAACGCGAGATAGTCGCTGAACCACAAAACATTCATACTGTCCCTTTGTAAATAGTTTCTTAAATTTTGTTGGAAAAGTAGGTAGTTTGTCGAGTGCTACTTCACGTTATCCAGCACAAATTTGTTTTTGTAACGGACGCTTCACGCTAAGCTGCTTGTGATTGGTCGATGTGCATGTCAGCCAAAAAGGCATTTATCAGAGATGCTGTTCTCAAATTTCCGGTCTACCTGACGAACCTGTTTCTCATCGCAGTTTTACACAGTTTACAGTAGAATTAGTTTAAGCTCGTAAGATTTACATACTAATAAAAGTACTTTGAGCTTTTAACAGTTCACTCCCCCAGCCTGTTCAGTCTTCAACTCGTCAGCTGCTGCCCACAACACCGACTAATGGATTTATTCATCGACTAAGCGACCCCTAATCACAGTATGGAAAGAAATTATGATTCATTTGTCATGAGCGGTACAATTTCCAATTCACGCTGACTTCAAATACAGTATTAAAGAGAAAAGAGATGTCCACTACACATAAATGGAGATTGAAAGCTGCTGGACACATGCAGAAAAAAAAAACTAGAAGATACATCTACTAGGGTCTATGAGTAGCTTCATAAATCTGAGAGCTGAGATTAAAAGCAAAAAAGAAACGCATCTTTTAGTTGTTTCAGCATTTCACATCATTTTAATTTGCATTTATAATTCTTCATTCCTGTTGCACTTCAAATCTACAATATTCTGAAAACGTGCACAAAAAAGGTTTTAGGTTCTCCTTTACAAAATAAAAATTTTAACCAAGCAAATAGAGAAAAGAGGAAACTAGTGTTACTTCTAGAATGATCCTTCTAGTTGATTAATCAGTCGCACCATATAAACAATGAGTCAGTTTGGAATCCTTTGCAGGCTCCCCACCCCAATAGGTTAAAAAAAATATTCTCTCTGTTTAAAAGAAATATTTTCAACTCATTATTATATCAGTAATATTTATCAATTTATCAGAAACGTCCAAGACACTCTTACCCATCCCTTTATCAAAATGGCCTTCAACTTCTGGGGAAAAAAAAAGTATATAAAACATACAGGAATGACAAAATATTTGACCAACAAAAATCAACAAAACCACTGCAGTCTGAAGTCCACTGAAACACCCTACAACTGGTGACGGATAACAAAAGGCGAGGGGGAAAAACAAAAACAAAACAGAATCAGGTAACAGGCGATGAGCTTGTCTGCTCAAATTCATCCAAACCCAAAATATTTCCTAGATATAAATTAAAATAAATAGACAAATTTGTATGATACAGGGAAAAAGCTGTGGATTTATCATCTGTTACTGTTTTTTTATTTTTTTTTTCCATGTGTTTTGTAAGAAAAATCTGACAACAAAAAAACTGGATATTTGTCTTTTCAGATTTTCCCCATTACTTTCAAATCTTAATGTGTACAACAGGATATACATTGAAAACCAAAAGTGTTAAAAACTATAAGCAAAGGGATTTTAAAAACACGTCCATGAAATAAATAAATAAAATACCTATGCATATTTACTTCCAGAAAATATATTCATGAAGCATATATTTATGAAGCACAGCTCGGGTGGGTGAGGACAAAAGCTAGGTTGAGAATACTTGGTTGCCTTTTTTTTTCTTTTTTTTTGCACAGAAAGTGAGTGTGTGCACGTGTGTGTATGTGAAGTTGGGGGTGGGGGGTAACTGTCTAATGGAGATGCGGCATTTGAGAAGATCAGTTTGCAGCCAGTCCTGTTGCCTCAGAAGAGAGTCTGCAAGAGAAAGCAATACAGTTCAGTGTAAGTGCATGTTTAAACATACACTACCAACCAAAAACTTGACATCCTCTATTTACAGATAAAATAAACATCCTGCAAATGAGGCAAAATAGGTTTTGGCTGTAAGACAAGACTTTTAGAAAGAAAATTATTACAGCAGAGGGGAACCCTCAAGGTCTTCACACTTAATATCTGAAAACTTTATATTTAAAAGAAATGAACAGAACCTATCTATTCCTAATTATTCTATTTAAACTCTCCAAGAATTACAGTATTACTCATTCCATTGTTGCTTTGGTCGGAAATAAGTGTTACCCACCAGCATAATTCAGAACTGACAGTGGAATCAAGTTTTGACTTACAATAAATGTAACTAGTTTTGAGGGGAGGGGGACAAAAAACGTCACTGTAAGCTTTCTTGTAGTTATTTAGCACTGACGAGTGGCAGCCTCACCAATGTGTGTGTCAGCTGATAGAAATGGAAAGTAGCAGCTCTATGCCAGTGCTCAAAAATTGACATCATAGTGGTGAGTTTCTCATTTTTTTGGCCATGTTTTGACATTTTGTCCTGAAATGAAGATCTAGCTCTAATAGTCACACTTCACTACTGGATTACAGAGTGTAACTCGCATGAAGATTTGATGCATCTTGCCCCAACAGTATTTTCACTCTGTAAGAACACAAATTCACGAACACTGAAAATGTAGAGCCTTTTTATTAGGTAGGTAAGTCAACTCCAGACAGAACAATCAACTTGCTTACTTTCTCACAGTATCAATAGAGATGTGTGCACGTTACCTAGCATTAATGAGGTATTCGGCCAGGCTGATGCTTGCAGGGGAGCCGGTGATGGTAACTTGGCGATCATTGGAGCCCTCAACAGGGTTGGCGATCTTGATCTGCGCTCCTGACATCTGACGGATCTCGTTTATCTTGGCACCTTGACGGCCAATGATGCAGCCAATCAACTGCAAGAGAAGAGATTTTAACTACAAGTGCCTCCCTCATTCATTTGCACCCTAATATTTACAAGAAGGGTAGAGTCATTCTAATAACCAACATGTTTACCACTTCAGCAGGGAAACAAATGTTTATGAAGCTAAATGCTAGCTTGTCACTAGTAGCGCACAGTTGCCAGCTGTTCGCACTGACTCTTTGGGGGATAGTAATGAAAGGCTCTGCTTGCACAACAATCGGTCTTAACTCCAGGTGTGGTTCAAATAAGTTTCCTACTGCTCCAGATTGCTAGCCAACTAGCAAGCTCTCGTAAATAAAATGTATTCAGGCCACAGCAGGCATTTAAGACAGGCAAGAGTTTAGTGCATGTTCCAATATAAAGCTGGTTTTGAGCCACTTAAAAGCCTTGATTCTACCTCATGTCAGTGAAATGACCATACAACAGCTAACCAAAAAACAAACAAAAAAAAAAAAATTAAGACCATGGTTAATAAGCCACTCTTTCCTCAGTGTTCCTGAATCAATTGTCCCTTATGATCAAACAGCACCAGAACACTATTCAGTGTTCAGTGACTGGGCAGGATTCCCTGAGTTAGAAATTAGGCTACAAAAATAACTGATCAGTGATGCCTTTATTACCTAAGGTTTCATTGAAAGCAAAAATAAAAAGCAAAATAAAATAAACCATAAATAGTATCTATAATATTTGTAACAATCATGCTAATATTAATGCAAATAATAAAATGTCAAACGTTTTACTCTTACTGAGATAATACTAGTGAAAATATCTGATCATTGCAGCTTTACCAAATATGATCTTAGTCATGGTAGGCAACCGATGAAAAAATTGGTGAGACACTGTTCGTCATAGGTTCACAAAGTAACTCACGTCATTTGGAATGGTCAGTTCATGAGAGCCAGTCTGTGCGGTGGCATCAATCCCAGCTGTAAAGAAAAAGACCCAATGAATTAACAGACTTAGTCAAAAACAAAGTAAGGAAGGAATGCTCACTTGAGTGCACTCACCAGTGAAGCCCTGACTGCTTGGGGCCAAAGGAAATGGGCTTTGCTGCATTGCCAATTGGTGAAGTTTAGTGAGCTGTGATTGAAAACGGTTATTTTTCTTTTTTTATATAAAGCTGCGTCATTTCCTTTTATCAAATACCAACAACAAAAGTATTATCTCCAGAAAACAATGTATTGATTGAAGTCTTTCAAGTATGAACACACAGTGGAAATGTGTCTTACATCAGGTTGGGGAATGGCATGCTGTCCCTGCACCGCATATGCCTGTAAGCATTGCACAGTCAGTCAGTATTAATCTTTATAACAAAATAACTTCCACAGAAAAAACTTAAAGCTTAAAGTTGGTACTCTGACCTGCACTCGTTCCTTAACAGACACTCACCTGTCCTCCAGCGAAGATAACAGGCGAACCTGAGGGTTTAGGTCGATACGGGATGGTGACACCTTTGGGGGGAGACTGGGTAAAAGGATAAACACACAGACATGTAATTGCTGAGATCATAAGATGAATTACTGTGATTGCAATAGGGCTGACACAAACACTCAGTGTGATAAAAAAAAAAAAAAATCTAATTCGTTCATTCAGCTGACAATTGCCATTTGAATGATATTTATGGTGTCTGCAGATGGCTATTATAAAGCTGCTTTAATCTTCTCAAGCCTTCTGTATGCATCGTCAAAACCTATGCTAGCAGAATCTCATAAATACACATGACCTAAAGTTACATACATGAAACTGTGTGCTTATTAAATAAAGCAAATGTAAAGATGTATGAATTAAGGCTCCGGTAATTTTAGGAGTTAGGCTTTAAATTGAAATATTTACTAAATATCAAAGAATGTCACTTGAAAATGTTACAAATGCCACATAACCATGTTCACATAGAGCTGACAGTGTAACAATGACAATTCCTTCAGCAGAGATTGGTTTTATTGTAGTGGTGGTACATTGTTAATCAAAGGCTACTTAAAGCGCAAAGTGAAGGCTATTAAGAGGATTCTGCGTTAAGCCTTGCTATATAAATAATATACAAAGCTGTGGCAAGTTAATGAAACAGCTCTCAATTCAACATTTTCTCAAAGCTTCTCAAACACAAAAGGAAACGAGAAGCTCAATAACTGCTAATTTACTAGTATATTACTCTGTTGCTACAATAATCAGTGACTGCACTAGACCGCAGTAAGAATGGCCTTCTCATAAAGTATAAGGGTTGCAAAAGATGTCAGTCATTATCACAACATTAGCCCCTACAGTATTTATATTGCAAAAACTGAGCATCTTGTCCAATCTTTAATGATTTGTTAAAATGCCCACAGATCAGTCATTATAAGCAAGACATTCTGGCATCTGACAAACATACATCATTTTGGTCAGAATACTATATTCTTATCATTTAAATACGGGGTTATCACAAGATAAATGAATCAATATGCAACAACTGTAACTAATATGAATACTTTGCCCGTATGTTTACCTCCAGCATGACCACACAGATCTGTTTGACACACTCAATGATGGACAGCGGCGTCCCAGCAATGGTAATGGCTCTTTCAGTGGAGTTAGGCAGCATGTCTCCTGCCACTTGTACCTGAGCTCCCGTTGACTTGTGAAAGACAGAGAACACATCAATCTAAATTATCCATATCAACTGAAATATCACCTTATACATGTTGCAATTACTTAAGTACGACTAAAATGCTACCTGATATGCTAATTAAGAGAAAGTGAAGAGAGCAGTCTCTCTGTCGGTAAGAGAGAATTTACCTACCTCCCTGATCTCTTTGATCTTGCAGCCACCTTTGCCAATGAGAGAGCCACACTGGCTGGCAGGCACAACAATGCGCAGTGTGACAGGGGGCTTAGAGGTGGCTGTACTATTGGACATGGAGCTGCTGATGTCCTAGAAGATTTACAAAAAAAAATAAAAAAATAAAAAAAAAACATAGAGACAACAATGATGTGCTGTGTTACCAGCCAAAGTCAAGAGATCAAAAGAAGAACAGTTTACTAATCATATTCATTTCACCTTGGCTGTTGTGAGTCTGGGCAAAGACACCTTGTCCTAAGAAACACCTTTATATCTGGCTCACTTCAGTTCACTGAACTCTTTTTAAGTGGAAAATGCCTCACTAGAGCCTGAGCTTCAATTGAAGCGTGAGCAAGGACATCACAGAGAAAATGACAGAAATGTCTATGTATTTCATTTATGAGGGTTCAAACACACTCCGTGCTTGAATCCTGTGGCTGTTGTCACAAAGACCCAATCCACACAGCTAAACAAGTATATTCCAATTTTTTAAAAATAATTCTGTATTTCACCAATACAAATGAAGCCTGTTAGTTCATGATGCTACAAACTGCTTCCTAAAGAACCTATATAGAATTGAATGGTTTTGAGGTCAGAGATTTACACCCCTTTTCCAGACATAATTGTTACCACACAGAAGCATTTGAGAAGTGTTGAATGTATACCTCTTCGAGTTTGTCAATGATCATGGAGAAGGCTTTGAAGATGGCAGTTGTGGGCCCTGCCAAAGTGATGATTCTCTCTGGGCAGTTCCCTTCAGAAATGTTGATGCGAGCACCACTCTGCAGGAGACAAAGCAAGAGAATAAGAGCAAGAGACACACTGAGTATCTGGGTCAGCAATTTACTGAAACTTTTCTATGCAACAACAGTCATGATAACTGATCTATTATGTGCATTATTAAAGAGTATGAATTTAAATGCCAGCAATTTAAGTTTAGCTAAAAACCTAGGCAACAATCAAATTTGGTTCCTCTCACCTCCTCTCGCATCTTCTTCACAGATTCACCTTTCTGCAAGGGAAAAAAGTAGCCTATTAAATATGACTCATATCAAACATCAGCAAAACATGAAGACATGCAACCTAGAAGAGGTTCAAATATTTGATTAGGCCAAAATTTGGCTAACCTGGCTAACCTTCACCCTGTTTGCATTAGCATAAACTCAAGCCATTTCTGTGGGTCAGAGTGTTAGAAGTATGCACTGGATTTAATATTTTTTTAGTATGAATACTAGAGATGGCATATCGGTATGGGGTGAATATCAGCAGAAAATTCTGGATTGGATATCTGAGAGGAAAAAATTCAATGTTGCAACAAATCTATCCTTAAATAGCACACATTCACATTATGTGATGTTAGTTGTGTATTTCATCCTGCGGGGTAGTAGAGTGGTTGAGTAGTTTTAGCATGATAGCCTACTTTCAGATGTTCATCTTCAGAAAAAAGAAAGCTTAGTAGTTTTTAAACAAAATATTTCAGATCATTTAAAGAGCATACAATAAAATATTTAATGGCTTCAAAGAGAAAGAATGAAACTGACCTTCCCGATAATGCTGCCAACCTCTTTACCATGCATGAGGAGCCTGATGGTGAGAGTGACATTGAGTCCACCTTCAATCACGCCAGAGTCCATCCCTGTGCTTTGGAGATCTACCTGGATCCGCTGTATGCTCTTTGGTCACTGATGTTAAGCCTGTTACAGACAATTGTATCTCAGTTTTTACAAACATATGTATACGTTGACATGTACATACAACATTTAAACAGTTCTAAAAGGGCTTTCAAGAAACACAAATTAAGATCAATTTGAAATGTGTGCCAGGATATCTGAATAAATGCACAGAGCTCTTCCTAAAGAACGCCAGCATAACACTAACACATGCTTCTTCCACTCTGCCACCACAACAAATTCCAGCATGATTCAGGCAGTGGTAAATTAGTTTCATTTTTGGTATTAAACTAATTTACCACTTCAGACCAGCTTTGAACAGTGGAGAAGCAATCAAACATGTCTCTCTAACCTATCTGAGCAACATCTGATGACCGTGAGATTACCAACACACACACACACACACACACACACACACACACACACATGCAGCTAGGTCTAAGCCACACTGGTAAAATTCAATTAACATGAAATATAGCATTAAAACTTAATGAACCCATGCTTCTTGAGTAGTGTTACAAACCCAATATAGCTTTAATTAGAACATTTAGATTTTTATTCTCTTAAAATGACAGCAAAAAAGTCTTACACAGTACTGTACACATTAACCAGACATGAAACCTTCTAGAGATGACTCATACCATTTAACTTACATGGATTTTATACTGTTATTTCAAAACAAATTAAAGCACTCAGCAAATACCACACATGGCAGTTAATAGTCAAGATATAATGACTATATAACTCACTGTATGAAAATTACCACTTAAACTCAACTAAAAAAAGCAATATCAGGGCATACTGGCAGTGTTTCCCCACACAGGAAAATTTTATATTGTTATGGGCAGGGGATAGGGCACACTGCGTCATTGATGCAAAGCATTAGTTTTTTTTTTCCCCCCTAGTGGTCATTTCTATGAGGGGTTTCACGTCTTATAACGAAAAACATGGAAGGTTTAAAACTCACTAATTTGTCTAACTCTAATTCCTGAACAAGCAAACTATGATAGATTTGGATCTCCATATATTCAAATTACACCCCTTGATCCCAGAAGGTTTGTTTCAGATCTGTTGGAAACACTCATGGACATGGACTAGTTGACATTCAGCTGACTGCAAATAGATTTCTATTGCAGATACACACCAGTTTCAAGTTATTTCACTTAGCGTAAGTCAGTTAACAGATAACTATTAACAATGTCAATGGATTAAAACAGACTAAAAAACACTATTACTGCAAGCCTCAGAGCTAAAATTTAAATATGCTACCAGCAGAGTGAAAACATTTGACAATCATAACCCACAACTGGTCATCACTCTGTGAATATTCATATAAAATGGAACTAAGCACACACCATGCTCATTTTTTATTTATGGCTCTGCTTAGTGCTATTTGCCTTTTGTTCATGATAAGAGATTGGCTTCCCTGGAAGGGCACTGGACACCTAATAGGCTGAAAATAGCCCAATACTTTCCAAAGGACTATGATGCATATTTTCTAAAACGTTTTTAAACTTTTAGCTTTACATTGTACTTCCTTTCAGAGAGTAGTGTTCTTAATGGAGAATGACCAAATACCAACAGAATTAGAAGGAAGCACACACCCACCCACAGTTGGATGAGCCAAAGCAGCAAGCCAGGAACTTGGCACCCACAAGGCCACAATTACCCAGCAGAGCAGAATGAAAGTGCAAGGAGGTGACCAGTCAACCGCTGCACATAATGCAAAAATAAGGGCACCCGTTGGGGCTGCCCAAGTGGACACTATACTCTGAAAAATGCTTTTAAACAACTCAGAATCTGTATTTGTAGTCTGAGCAAATGTAGCATGCCTACAGATACGGATCTGGCCCCAAGAATCCTTGAAAAGTTCACTGGTTCATTTGAAAAACCCTTGACAGAGGTGGGGGTGGGGGGGTGGGGGTTAAAGCATCTCAGAAGTGACAAAGGGCTGTGGATTAGCAGGTTACCTCTGGTGTCAAACTCGACACGTGGGCTGAAAAGGCTACCTTTGGTAACAGAACTCCCATCAGGCAGAGGTTTGCTAGGAGTGGCTTAATTGGGTTACGGCCCAGAGACGGGGACAACAAACTTTGCCAGAAAAACAGTCATAAAAACAGGACTGCCTTTAGTGGAAGACATCAGGCAGATATCAGTGGAAACTACAATTGGCACATAACTGAAGTACATCTGAAAAGATGAAGGACACGGTAAGGACAAACACAGACAATCACCAGTACATACATACAGACAAACAGTACCTGGGGTACAACATAAACTTTGTAATAAACACCAACTTTTCCCAATATCAATAATGCATATTCAAGTTTTTCAATAAAATGATTATGCCATTCTGCTCCTAAATTCTGTTTTAGTAGCAAAGACTTCAAATTTGAACTTCTTCTTCAGTAGAACTTGTCAACTTGTATGTTTACACACTATACAGGGAAGCAGATGTCTAGCCATTCACTCAACACAAACCAGCATGACAGTTAAGAGAGATACCAAGTTGTTTTCAGCTTTTATTTTTATCCAAAACCGCCCAAACAGCCTAGTAAAATAAGCTGATTTCTTCAATTATTTATACCTTTGCAGGGACAACTACGAATTAAATGTAAATGTTATAAATGATCACATGTTTGGAATTTTGTATATCACAAATGATTAAGCTTTGTACATTCATCAATGTTAAAAATACTATAAAGACACACAAACATAAGGTGATCGATATAGTAACTACATATACCAAATTACATCGAAAAGTATCACTGTGCAAAGCTTTTGGTAGCATTTACCAGCCTTAGCAGAACTCCGTGTTGGCCACTGTGTCAAATAAGATTCATCACATCCAGAGGGAGCTGCCAGTTCCTCAAAGCAGCCTTCTACTTTGTTGATATAACAAACCAGAAATGTCCGGACTGAAGAGACAGAAGACATTATATATATAAAAAAATATATATAAATAAAATGCTCCTAACTGCAGCACACTAGCACACTGCTATCTTGTGAGGCTAAACACAAAGGGCACAAGCCACCTCTGTGCTGCCACTGCACATCAGCACCTCAGTCTGATACGGATGCAGCAGTGGTCACCACTTCCCTGCATTAGGGAACAGAGCCTGGCCAAATGCTGGCTTTTAGAAAGGTTCATTGTCTCCAAGGGCACAACGTTGCTGTACAACTTCTCGAAATCAACTCCTAGACTAGTGAGCACAGCAATGATTACCTCCTCACAAGCCAAAGTAAGACCACAGACAAGCCAGTCATCAAAACAAGAAATAAAATCTGCCAGTGAAAGATGCAAGCTTAGTTTTATGAACTCCAATGTTTACAATACCAAATATCCAGAAATAGCACGACTGACCCCAAAAGACAAACCTGAGAAAAACAACCCCTATTCCAGTGCCCCTCTATACCCAGCAGTGATCTAAAAATCCTAAAAAATGTATCCTATCCTTTATAATGTAATTTTATCTGGATCACATTACACTTAACATTTCAACTGCATCTAAAAGAGCTGTTTAATATACTACACAGTTGGTTGAAGAGGACAGAAATCTACCCAGGCTTCCAAAACATGCTGTGAATCTAGCAGTGGAACACAGCTGATACCAGGGGTAGTGGCAGAAGTAATAAAACTCCCATTAGGCTGGGTTTTGCTCTCATTAGGAATGAATGTGTGCAATTTGCAGAAGGCAAGGTTGCCTGTGCTAACCCTTGCCTAATAGTCACTCTTGAAAACACAGCCTCTTCATCTAGATCCACACAATTGCCCAGCTTTGTCTAGAAGGTCGGCCATTATGGCCTACTCCTGGGGCTCTTGAACAGGGCCAAAGCTAGGAATTTCAGTCAGTCAATTCGGGCAGAAAATAAGAAAGATTTATCAACCTGATTAACCATTCTGGGACCTGCAGGACCAGTCTGCTAAATCTGCCACAAAGACAGACCGCACATTGTGCAAGCATATGAACTTTAACCATAGAGAAAACACCAGGTCACATTGCTGAAATAATGCTACGATTACTATATGCGTTCAACGGCATGGGAAGTCAGGAATGTAACTAGCTGCCTGGCTTCATTCCACAATAAACCTTCTAGCTGCGAAGCTATCTAGGTAGCATGAAAACGTGCATTTGTGGCCATATTAAAACTGCAAGCGATGAGTAAAATCAGATACAAGAACCAAAGCTTGAAACACCATTCGAAGCACGAAACGTAACAAATCAATGCTAAATTCGCGATACTTTGGCATGCTTCCAACTGACGTTATAGGATTACGAGTTCATTACTTACAAACCCAAAATAGGGCTAAGCATAACCCATCAAACAGTTCTCACAGCGCCATAAGCTCGGTGGATGCGAAAAACGCACCAAATGTGAATTTTCCCTTTAACGGAGAGTGAACGACTGTGTGCAACATGGCTACGCCTTCTATTCAGACGACAGGCTAATTAGCTAAATTACTAAAAGCATGTAAACTGCAGAAACAATAGATAAAACTTGCGTCCCCAGTAAGGCAAAAGCAATAATGTATGTACACTTATCTAGGTTAGCAAAGTAAACGTTAAGCTATGTCCTGATACCTCCTTAAAATAAACAACATGAACTCATGAAAGGAGCACAAGTAAGACGACTGGCTAACCTAGATAAGCTATCTAGCTAGGTAACAAACCAAAATGACGAAAACCGCAAGGCTAAATCTTAATGACGTTCGTAAACTGCCTTATTAGCAGGGCCCGCTTGCATGGAGCAAAATGGCATTAATACGTCATATGTACCACCAGAGCTAAGCAGTAACAGCTAATACCCTGACTGAGATCTCGCTAGTTAACTAACTAACATTAGGCGTCAAAGTAGCAAGATTTAAATCGAATAATGTTACTGTTAACGTTATTTGATTAAAAACACTTGAATTTTACAGACGGATTTTAGCTAGCACGCGCTAGCAGTCAGCACTAGCTCAGGACATTTTGGACATCACAGCATCGTTTCGTGTCGAAGTCAACACAATCGGTCATATTAGCTGCTTAGCTAGCTAGTTAGCTAACATGATCCATTTTGCTCTCATGTCAATGACTCGCGCGTCTTAGCTTAGCTGAGTTAGCTAGCATACTAATCAACCTAGCCACCGTTAGCAAGCTAACTTGCTAACTAGCTAGCCACATTCACAAGCTAAACCTTTCTGCATCTAGTAAATCCACCATAATTAAGTTGTTAACCGAAAATGTAACCTATAACATCAATACAGAAGACGTTTTTAGCTTTATGAGCACCTACTAACAGTGGTGCAACTAGCAAACGCAGCGCTAAACCGCGAAAAGTGATAGCAGCGGCCTAGTCGAGAGTCCGGTGATCTTCGTAGGTCTTATCGGAGTTGCGCAAAAAATATTGAGAATAAAAACACATAAGCAAACAATTTGAATTCTTCTTACCTGCTCGAACCCTGCCGACGCGTTCAGGGGAGGGGTAGGGTTTAGAGGGTAGAAGGGGGAAAGGTTCGGGAGGGAATTTTGAAAGGATTCGGGGGAAGAGGGAAGACACACAATTGCGTGACCAGACTCCACTCTTCTCTGTACAAAGACAACAAAATGCGCTCCAATCAACTTTCACCCATGACCACCGCTGTCGTCACATCCCCGCCCCTCTCCTTCCTTCTGCGGGCTGGAGATCAGAACAATCGCGCTTATTGCCACCAGCTGGACGTGAATAGGTTGTAACTGTTCTCTACTTCTCTACTAAAGTGTATCACTTCAGGGTTACAATTTATTCTTATCTATCTATCTATCTATCTATCTATCTATCTATATATATATATATATATATATATATATATATATATATATATATATATATATATATATAGATAGATAGATAGATGTGTGTGTGTTTGTGTGTATATAGAGAAAAAAAAACATTCTTATCTCATAATGTAACTTTTTAAATATAATTTCTACTCGTCCATTCATAAGTTTTTTGTGCAACAGCAACTATTTAAAGCTTACGTTGCTTGAATAAACCCACTTCTCGATTTCATTCATGACCGTTTTATATCTGACACATTCATCATTCATAAAAAATTAAAAGCTTTTAAAGGGCCAATTTCCCACATTTTCCTGCATTTTATTTTTGTCCTCTCTTTAAATCCACGTTTGTGTGGGCCAATGTAATGGTAAAAACCTCTTTTTATCCCTAATTGTCTTTGAGACTGATATGTAAATGACACTTGTTCTAATTGGCTGCACTGTACTGTGCCTCAAAAGTCCAGGCTGAAACACACTTTTAACTTAAATGTTAGTGAGCAGAGCAAAACTGCAGTAGGCTGAAGTTTGACATATGTAGGCCTAACTGAGCTGGTTTTTGTGACATCGCAAAACTTTGGCAAGACTTCTAACACTATATTCACCTACCTCTGTTGCTCTGGACAAGAGTATCTGCCAGTTGTCACAAATGTAATGTAAATGCTTCTCAAAATGTATGTTAATATTCTTTTTATCTGATCATCAGACATTTGGATTTGCCTTTTTTCTTTTTCTATTTCCTACTTGTGTCATAAATAAATCATACCACAGCACAATGGATGGTCTATTTTATCAGTGAAAATCCACAGAAATTAGAATTTTCATAAGGGAAAAAAACGGTTGGTTTCAGACAGGTTGTTTCAGGGACAGCAATGAACATTCACAAATAAACATTCAGAAATAAACATTCAGCAAATTTTCATGAACATATTTTGACATGATTATTGGTCTTCATAAAGACTATGCAAAAGTCTTAGGTGGCCATGAAAATGACTTTAAAGTATTTATTTATGCTGACAGAAAGAGTGTTTAGAAGCACCATAAAACTTTACAGTACATACAAATAAACATAAATACAGTAAAACAACACGTAACAACGTTTAGTTTTGAAGTAGTTATTAATATCTTGATTAGAATAATAGTCAGAATAACACAGGTTTAGGTCCTGACTTCATGGTAAACTCCAGTCATTGTATGGATTTGTTTAAATGCCATCATTCAATGAAGTACAGATTAGCTTAACTAGGTGTTGGATGGTAACAGTATATTCTGCACTTTCTCGAGATTTGGATTAGGTCCATTTTAGCTAACACACACCATCACATGTTTATTTGTATTTATTCTAATGTTAATGTTTTTTAAACAAAATGCTTACGACCCAGATGAACAGAAAAGACTTTTGTACTGTACCGTTTCATGTGACGTCACCGTTAAACCCCGCCGCCATTTTGATGACCGTGAGAGTCAAAAGATGAAATAGTCAAAATATTTTCTGTGTGCTTCACAGATAAGTGTGAGAACAGTCACCAGCCACCTGAGTAAGCTAACTGACATAATGTTCAGTGTTCGAGCAGTAATATCACCAAAGTTAACACTTATCGTGCTAAAGCCGACAAAATCAAACTTGTCAACATTTGTATGCTTAACGGTCCACACAGATACTGCATCACCAACCTACCGTTACGTTAGATCACTGAGGTAACCATACTGTTTTTTTATTATAATCATAGAACGTTTTATATAGTCTTTCTCACATCCACATAGAGCTTTTTCTTCTTTAAATCATACAATTCGGCCATCCAGTGATGAAACAGCAGCGATAGTAGCCAGCTACTTTTGATAACAAGGCTCTCACTGAGCACAGAAACGGACTGTGTACTAACTACAACTAAATGTGAGTCTGTAAACACTACACATAGTTCATTAGCAAATGCTAGCTTAAGAAGTGCATAAGTAAGCTGTATCGGGATTGTGTCTGAACGGAGAAAGCCAACGGTCTCCTGTGTTTTGAGCGACGTGTACACTGCAATATTAAAAACTTTAATTTTGTTACAACTTGAAACAATATATATGAATCAAAACCAATTATATATATTTTTTTTTGTTTTTTTTTAACATATCGCTGTTTTTCCAGTATCATTAATTCTCCGCTATCTCTCCCACAGAGACGCAGCATGAGACGGTCATTAAAATGGCAGTTGCACGAAAAAAGTCATGTGATCGCGCTTGTCTTCCAAACGCTAGAGGGCGCTCCCGGAGAGTCAAAAATAAGGGTTCCTATGGAGCTTTTATGCAAAATCATAGTTTGTAAATGGCTAAACATTTTTATGTATAAAATGGATTAGTTTTTGGAACACATAACTGCATAGAATATTTCAACACTGCTGTCATATTTTAAGTGGTTTTGAAGTAAAGTTATAGGACTTTATTATGGTGCTTCGCCAGCCAGTTAGCACTCAGTGGCAGTAATGCTAATGTCCTACTGACCAAACAGAAATATACAAGTGAGTAATTTTTAAATGAAACACATCCTTCTACTTTACAAAAGTAAAGAAACATCCTGCACAAAATGTTAGAAACAAGTTTAATGTTTCGTTTTAAATAGTTTTTAACTATTTTTAGCTCACGTGCGCCCTCTACCGTTTTGCAGTCCTGTTTTTGGAAATAGAAATAACGTTTACTTCATTTTTCAGTTTTTGGCCTACCACCTTCTATCAGTGCTCACAACACCATCTTAATGGCATCATGTTCTAGAATACAACCAGCTTTTAGATAATAACATCTCAGAATGCTTCTAACAGCCGGTCCGAGTAAGATGTTTCTTGGCTTTGGCAAACAAATGCTTTTATTTCATTTTAGATCAGCCACTCTTGGAAAATTGGTCAGAAACATTACAAATTTTCTTTAGAAAAGGTTTTTAAAGAATATATTTAACTGTATAACACGTATATATTTGCATGTATAGAAAAAGGCATATTTTATAAAGAACAAAATGGACGAGAAACCTGCCTTAAGTGACATGAACATTAGTTACTCACAGCAAGAACTGCCCCCCTCTGTTGAGACTGTATTGAAGAAGATTGAAAGTGCACAGCTGACACGAGCAAAACAGGTAGGGTAATTATTTTATTAACTATTTAAAGATAAAAAAAACAAAATAACAGTGAACAAGTAGGCAACAGTGAACCTAAGAGATAACTTGGGCAGGTTAGTCCTCTGCTGAAAAAAGACCAAACATTTCTTGTTCCCCTCACAGGAGATTGCAAAACAGCTGCAGGTGATCCAGAACAGAGTGAATCAGGCTCTCAGCCTTCAGGAAGAGATCTTAAAAGATGAAAATGAGTCTTTATTTGATAGAGAGGAGATGAAGAAACGCAGTCAAATGCTCTATGCCTTTTTTCGGTCAAGCCTTGAGAAGGAAAATGAACTTGATGGGGTTCTGCAGTGGCTAAAGGACATTGGTGAGTAACACCAACTTCATAAGCAACTAGCACAGGCTGTCTTTTTCATTCTGTGGGGAAACTGGGACCCCATACTCCTGAAATTCATTTGTCTAATTTGTCTATTATTATTATTATTCAGTGCTGTCAAGTCAGTTCTGACTCTTTGCAACCATATGGGTAGTTTTTCTCCAAAATGTCCTGTCTTCTGTTTTAGGCTTCTTAATGGCTTATTCATGCTGTATTTGATTAATCTTGTTGCTGGCTGTCCTCTTTGTCATTTACCTTCAACTTTTCTAAGCATTTAAACTGTCTTTTCCAGTGTCGGTTTATTCATCTGGGATTCAAAGACATGAGGCTTGATTTAGTCAAGGATCAGTTTGTTTTCTTTGCTGTCAAAGGAACTCTCGTCAGTCTTTGCCAGCACCACAGTTCAAAGACATCAGTATTTTTCCTGTCCCACATTTTCGCTGTCCAGCTTTCGTGCCCACAGAGAACCACAGAAAAGGCTGTAGCCTGAACAGTGCTGATCTTTGTTTGTACAAGTCATTCAATTTCATGATCTTTTTAAGTTCCTTCATCCTTGCTATGCAGAGTGCCAAACTGTGTTGTATTTTGTTGTTAGTCTTGTTGCTAATTATAATAATAAAGTTTTATTTATAGAGCACGTTTCACAAACAAAGTAGCTCAAAGTGCTTTAAAATTGAGAAGTAAAATTAAGTAATAAAAACAAAAACACAACAAAAGCAGAAATAGGAAGAGAATGAAGAACAATTAAATGATCAAAAAATTGAGTGAGGTAAAATGACAGGCAAATAAAATGAATGACAATAGTATTTTAATGAATAAGTAGGTTAAAAAGATACATTTATTAAAAATGTGGACTGAACTTGAAAGTAGAAATGGAACAAAATGAGGAAAACTAAAATGACCAAAAAATTAAATAAAATGATAATAAAATAAATGACAATAGTATTTTGAATAAAAACTTGGTTAAAAAGATTCATTTTCAGATGTTTCTTAAACATGTGTACTAAACTTGACTGCCTAATTTTAAGAGGTTCTAGAGTTTATGCTGGCTTTTGGAGGAGGCAAAAAAGCAGATTTAAAATCACATGTTGGAACATTTGGTGAGGTTCTAGGCCATTTAGGGCTTTAAAATCAGTAAAAAAAATATGGCAGCCAGTTTTTTTTTAATCCAAGTAGGCAAAAAACTGTCCAACACTGTTTCTTCACCAGGGGTTCCATTAGGATTTTGGAGGTGGGAGAACCCTGTTTTTTCCGTGTGTGTCTACAAAGTGGAAGCAGTATTTTTCAGTTTATGTGGTATTATGTGGAGTTCTCACTGATATTATGAAAATATTAAT